GCCAAAAATATCAGCACTTAACAACATCTGACGGGGAAATGTGGCTGACACCGCTAGCGCATACAGCTTTGCATTCAGGTATGAAATATGGCAGGAGGCCTAATTGGCTTGCTCCCCCAACTTCATACATTTTGGACTCTCTGTGTTAATGGCAATCAAAATTCCACATGGTCTATACCACATTCATTCTGTGCCATACAGAACATCCACTGAGGCACGGGGCAGCTAAGGAGCTTATGAATTCAGCAAACTGTACACAGCTGCCTCATGTAGGAAACCATACTCTATAAACATAATGACTTAATTTTAGTCTGTGTGACGGCATGCGATGGTAAGATTTGCATCCGCAGCACCTCTGCATTCAGTAAAACACTGAATTGCTATAACTGGTAGAAAGAGTGATTCCATGCACTTATGTGGGGGACCAATGAAATGACATTGATATACAGCGCTCCATTAATTGCCATATGAATAGGGTCTGCATTGCTTGGCACTCTGCTGATGCATCACAGTAAAAGAGATGGGTCACTCTGTCTTCTCCACCCTGCAGCTTTGCCATGCTCATAATTACTAAAACCCCCAATTAATCTTCCCATCACATAGGCCAAATATACACTTCCTCCCTATATAAATGAGTTACAGTATATGCTCTTAGTAGATGTGTGTGTGTGTTTTACAAAAGTAGGCGTGTGTACATTTAAGTGTGTCAACTTGAAAATGCCAGTGCTTATGAGGGCATCAAGTACAGATAGTGCCATGTGATCTTAGTGCATCACTTGTGTCAGTATCACACAGCTGAGTTCATGTTCTTGCAAACAGAGCAGGACATTGTGTTCATGTTCATAGCCAGTTATATAAGCAACACAAACATGCAGCTATACACAGTTTGTAGAAGAGAAAACACAAACAGATGTTTAGTGTCATTTACTTTTAATTCAAAAACTTTTTTTTAACAAGTGAAAATATGTTATCCGAAGATAGACTGGGTTCTGCATTTATTTTAACAAGCTAACATTCAACGTACATTTTAAGATTAGTTTTTTCTTATTTGTGCATTTTGATTCAATCTGCAGTAACTCGTCGCCCTTATATAAATGTTCCTATCCACTTCGCGAGCGTCAGTCTGCAAAAAAAAAAAAAAAGTGCTGCTACAATGTATCTGGAGGCTACACAGTGTCTAATTTCTGAGAGGTCACAACAGTCGTTAGATGTACACTTCTTACTGACAATACATTAGTGTGAGTATGTGTGCGTGTGTGTGTGTGTGTCTACATGAATATGTATTTCTGATTGTAGCATGCAGTTCTGGCCCCTGGCATTCAACCTTTACACGTTATGAATAGAATCTCTTCTCCACGCTCCAATCTGCCCACTAGTCTGTCTGCAATCACATTTACGATGCCTTACTGGCACCTAGTGGTGACGGGATGCACTGCATACACTTGATGCTTGACTGCCAGCAGGGGAGATGGAGAGTTGTTTACAAGTGGCATTTGCCCCTAATTAAAAGCAGTACTTGTTGGAGCACTCGGTCTGCAGAAGGACTAGCATCCACAGTAACACAAGCTGGGCCGCTGATCCTCCGATAAGCCTCCTCCACTCTGCGCACACACACACGCAAACATTGGTCAAGGAGTGAAGAAAGCGTGCAGCACAAGACAAATTTTAGTATTGTGATTGCTTACAGCTTTGCAGCACAGTAAGTTATACAATACAGTACATTTTTGAGAAACAACACAGATGGCTCAGAGTTCTGCTATTCCTGTTACCAGTGAAGAATTGTCCTTTTGATAGTGGCGGGCCAAGTCTGCAGAATCCCTCACTCATTCACAGGCTGACTGTCAACTCCCTCCATTTTCTAATTCTGCAGGCCCAACATCTGGCTGTCCCGTGTGGAAAGGCCATTATGTCAGGACAGAAGACGAATGAAAGTAGCCATCGACCTGTCTGTGTAGCAACTAACTAGGCCGGCAGTGCCTGCCAGTTTTGACCAGCTTAATGGAGCACAGCAGCTCAGCAACTAATCACCTGCTCTTTCTCATCAGCTGCCTCTCCCATGGGACCGTAATTGATTGTTAAGTGTTTGATGGATCAGACGAAGACTGAGCTGACTTGACTGTGGATCCACAGTCGGGTTTGTACTGATCTTCGCTTTCATGCTTTAACACTCATACTTTTTCTTCTTTTTCTTTTTTTTAAATACAAGTATAACATAGCGGAGCCTTTCATTTTTGTCTGACGTGCCTGACATCACCAAGTCTGGGTACCTAGAATCATCATACTTGTCCTCAATCAGATTAAGAGTGCCAGCGATATGCACAGAGAACTACTTTAAAAGATCTATATTAATGTTATCACAAGTTCACAACCAATTATTTACGCTTTCAGTCTAAATGGGCATTTTCACTTGCTTGATGAGTGTTCTAATGCAAGTATAATGCTAACTGAGTAAATAATACATTATGTATAAGCACTCCAACTACCTCACCTGAGTCTGAACAGCTGGTTGTGATCCAGCTCTTCCTCTTCATCAGTCTTTCCTTGGCCTCTGTTTCTCAGTCTCCTCTTCCTTTCCTCTGGGTCAAGTGTGAGTAAGACCACCAGGCTGGGCTGAAACAGGTCGCTAGGCCAACAGTACACCTCTGAACCTTCTCCTGGAAGGTTGCACACTGGACCACTCACCGCTGTGGCGATGGCATAGGCCGCTGTGCTGTGCCAAAATCTGGGGACAGGTAATCGATGGTGAATTGAAAAGTGAACGACAGGTGGAAGTCGCATCAGGTGACTTGGTAGCCACTGAATATTGAGTTGTATAGATCTGGATCTCAGCGGGATCTACAAGTTCTTACAAAAGAAAAAAAAAAGGTCACAAAACAGGCAGATCTCACTCCACCCGCAACATCTCAGCTGTCTTTACCTGTCAACAATGACAGGTGTCTTCATGCCCTTTAGACCTATTTGATCTGCTGAGATGTAGTTCCCCAGAGCATAGAAGGCCCTGCGGATTAGGGGTGGCTCCTGATCAAAGTGGGCTCTCCAGGGGGAAAGGCACTCTGGTGGGGATGGCAGAAGAGTGGCCCCCAGTGTATCCTTCAGAGACTCGGTCAGAGTGGTCTTACCTGTGATACAGAGGACAGGAAATAGATTCACCTCAAAACCAAAGAAAACAAAGGTGTGAACATTTTCGAATGACAAAAGGAGGGATTCATCCTTTTTGTTCATATTAAAAGAAGCTGCGGTGGCCCTTGAAAAGTTCAACTAAAACTCCCTCTTGAACCACACAGTTGAGCTTTCATGAAGGTTTGAAAATAGTATTAGAGGAGCGAGCTACACAGTAAACCATTTCAAAGTGATGTAACTTTTCTGAGGTCATGATACATGATATTCCATTAACTGAAGCTCCCTGGCAGATAATGGCTTTAGCGGAGAACAACCAGCCACCACTTTAGGATGACATCTATGCATCAGACTGATCACATATTTATTTATGAGGTAATGGCATTAACCTGTGGCATCCAGGCCCTCTATGACAATAACAGGGAAGTCTGGTTTATTTCTGGCCTCCACCCTGCTGGGCAACAGCTCCAGCACAGCCTTAGCTTCTGGGATGATGTCACCACACTGCAGAACAGACAAATCAGTTAAGCAGGCAGGAGTGAGTCATAGACTGTGCTGTCAATGAGCGCACACAGTGCTGTGGGCCACCTGGCCCTCCCTGATAGATAAACGTTAGAAGCAAGAGCTCTGGGTCTCTTGGTATAAACTGCTATCCCTAAATCCTCCACAAGAGTGCGCCCGTTTGCCAAAATCTTGTGCGGTATACAAAAATAAACATAAAACAGTCTTGTAAACATTAAAATGGGAAAATACGTACTTTTTTCATCACGTCATAGGCCTCATCAAAGCTGTAGAATACATCTGAATTGATAATGTTGAGAGTAGATGGGTGATATTCTGGCGCTTCTGAGGGTACCACATAGTATCCCTTTGCCACATCCATCACCTGGCTTGCTGTCTCTGACCACATGTGCTGCGTCCACTGTTGGCCGTCTTCAGCTGGAGAGTACGAACAAACTAACACTGGGTCATGTTGTATTAAATCACTCAAAAGTCGCTCTATCGGGGAGGAAGTGTCAGAATTCCCTTTTAAAAAGTAACCTTTAACGAGAGAATCCCTGACTTTTGGTAGAAATGAAGACATGGGAGACAAGCGACATTCCGGAGGCAAGTCCCTCAGCAGTTTGTCTTTCAGCTCCCCGTAAAACTTCGCCGTTTTGATTCTGTCTCTGCTGCAGTAAACAAGGACAGAGTAGCACTTGTCACGGTTTTGAACGTCTCTGAACACCCTCGGCACGTCTTCTCCCAGGTGCTTTTCCTTAACAGCAAAATAAAAAGGCGCTCCATTTAGCTCCACTGAAAAAACACGAGAGCACCACCTTGGAAGAAGAGACATTGCGTGTTTTGACATCTTGTACACCAGATCTGTTTCCAAAATATAGCCCGAGACGCGTCGTGTGAGCTGAAGGGAAAACGAAAGTAACGGCGCCAAACGGAGAAAACGAAACTTTTCGTTTACTGTGAAACGCGTTTATTATTGAAGCCAACGCCTCTCAGGGGCAGCTCAGGAATTCTTTCCAGGAATCCAAGTTATGTTTCTTAAACGTGTTTAATGAAAATGAGAGACACCAAGAGACTAGACAAGTAGCGAGGCTGTGAAAACTACAATGAACTGAATGCACCCAGACTCGAAACAGAAACTGTTTTACAAAGAAGCATTTATCACTGAAAGTTTACCATTAGAGCTAAAGATCTATAAGTCCTGCACTATTTAATGGCATATCACTACTGTACATAAAGGTCTCTAATAAAGGTTTAATGGACGAGTGACACTGCGAAGAAATGCAAAGAATGCGTTGTTATGACGCGCGTAAATAGTTTCTTGCATCTCAGCAGAATGGAACCAGGCTAGGTTTCGTTTTCGTTGTTTGTAAACAGAAACTTTTGAGTCGCTCAGCTGACCGACTCCCCCTTCCCTCTATATAAGATGCGCCCTGCGGGCTTCTGCTTATGACGCGCCAGCATTTATCTTGCAAACATAGCAAGTCTGACAGCACAACTCGTCATTTAAAAAAATGGATTTTTCTCCTGCTGTCTCGTCTCCCAGGCTGCTTCTGCGGCGCTTCATCAGCACCATCTACTGCATTTTTAAGAGCGCCTTTTCAAAACTCACTTACTGGACAACAGGAGCCTGCAAGGGAACAAACTCATTCGTTTCGTCTGCTGGTGATAAACTGGACCAAAACAAAGACCAAAATCCAACGATCCCAACGAGCGTCAACTACCACTTTACGCGCAAATGTAATTATAGATGTGGATTTTGTTTCCACACTGCAAAAACGTCCTTCGTCCTGCCCCTGGAGGAAGCTAAGACGGGGCTTAAACTTCTAAAGGAATCAGGTGATTTGACAAATTAATAACAATAAGCTTTGTTTTTTTGTCAAATTGCTGTGCATGCTATTAAATTTATGTCTTTTTTTAAGGGATGGAAAAGATCAACTTCTCTGGCGGAGAGCCCTTCCTGCATAATAAGGGAGAGTTTGTGGGGAAATTGGTCCAGTACTGCAAACAGGACCTCCAGCTCCCAAGTGTCAGCATTGTCAGCAATGGAAGCATGATCAAAGAAGAATGGTTCCAGAAATATGGTAAGATAGTTACGTTATTAACAGCTTCTTTTTTATGGGTACATTCCAGCTGTGCCATATACCATAAAATAATTTACATTTATGATCACTTTCATTTTTATTTCCTCTTCTAGGTTTCTATCTGGACATTCTAGCTATCTCCTGTGACAGCTTTGATGAAGCAACCAACCAGCTGATTGGCAGAACTCAAGGCAGGAAGAGCCACCTTGACAACCTCTTCAAGATCTGCAGCTGGTGCAAGGAGTATAAAGTGGCACTGAAAATCAACTCCGTCATCAACATCTTCAACTATGACGAAGACATGACACAGCAAATCAATTTGATTAATCCTGTCCGCTGGAAGGTAAAAATGAAAAAATAAGTAAATAAATATGTTTGTACGGGGTAATCATGGATGTACTGAACGTCTCGTTCTTGTTTTCAGGTCTTTCAGTGCCTCCTGATTGACGGGGAAAACGCAGGCGAGACAGCCCTGAGAGAGGCAGAGAGGTTTGTCATCAGTGATCAGCAGTTTCAGGACTTTCTGGACAGACACAGCAGCGTCACCTGCCTTGTTCCTGAGTCTAATGAGAAGGTATAATTCTCAGACATGTGCAGCAAGTATGGCAAATATGTTTAATGCAATAACCATAATGTATTCTGTGAGAAACATGTTTTTCATCCTTTTTTTTTTTAATTTTTTGATTTATGTAAGGGCGTAGAATTAGAGCTTGGTATGCCTAGAGTGAATGCAATTTGAATATTATTATAGTAAACACACACAATGCACAGCTAAACAAACAAATTATGCAAAAGTTGACTTTTGAACACCACTGTCAGTTAGGAATTTTGATTTTGTTTTCTCCTTGTTGCTGTATAGATGGCCACCAAATATAAGGGAATATTTTGGTATAGACTTTTGGTATAGTTTATAATGCAATAACTTCTAGAATATCCATGTTTCATATCTGTGGTGTGCTCATTCTGCATTACTCCTCAATTTTGCAACACTATGGCATAAAAAGTAGGAACTAAACATATATATTAGGTTGAAACATGAGCTCAGCTCATCCTGCCTAAAATAATTCTTTGTTGTGCTGTAATTAATGGTTGAAAATCCAAAGTTGGGATACACAAAAATTAAAATTTGTGGTCTTTTTTGTTTTAATAGATGAGGAACTCCTATCTGATCCTGGATGAATATGTAAGTACTTCAGATTATTACTAACTGGTAGTGTGGCTGAGCCATTTTATCAGATGTTTAAGTAAAAAAAAATGAACTGCATGTTTGAGTTATATGAATGTGGATTGCTCAAATTAAGTAAAAAGGCTTGAATTTGGTATAATTGTTTAAATTAGTAACTTGCTAGGCATTTTAGCTGAAGGAAACTTACTTCATATGTTGATTTTTTTTTTCCCCTTTTTTTTGTTACAGATGCGTTTCCTGGACTGTCGAGAGGGACGGAAGGATCCTTCCAAATCCATCCTTGATGTTGGAGTAAAGGACGCGATTCGCTTCAGCGGCTTCGATGAAAAAATGTTTCTAAAAAGAGGGGGAAAATATGTGTGGAGCAAAGCTGATATGAAGCTAGAGTGGTAAAACGCTGTGCCCGTGACCTTCTTCAGCTTGTGTTTGATGCTCCTTTGCTAAGTGTTTGCATTGATATGCTCTACAGTATGCACATTGTGCACTAGGAATGTAAATATTCAGATATATCTAGGCGTGTGTGTGTGTGTGTGTGTTCTGGGGGGGGTTATTTGAAGTTTACGGTCATCAAATAGAAGGTGATCCAGAAGTATTGTTCTTCTTCGTTTTTTATTAAATATCTGTCTTTTATGTTAAGCACTTTGGCATACCGCTAGTTTTTAAATCTTCTCTATTATTAAAGATGTATTGTATTGTATTGTAAATATATTGTACAGTTTATGATTGTTGAACAAAGTAACATTGAGTGTTATATTCAAATTATAATTTTACGCAACAAATTTAGATTGAAGGACAACTTGTCAAAGATGTTGTGATAATTTATTTTTTATGTGGTTAAGTAACAAGGCAAAATAAAGTCATGTTTTCCACAATACAGTGGCTTGCAAAAGTATTTGGCCCCCTTGAACTTTCCCACATTTTGTCACATTACAGCCACAAACATGAATCCATTTTATTGGAATTCGCTGATCAGAAATGCAGCAAAGAGGCCCATGGTGACTCTGGACGAGCTGCAGAGATCTACAGCTCAGGTGGGGGAATCTGTTCATAGGACAACTATTAGTCGTGCACTGCACAAAGTTGGCCTTTATGGAAGAGTGGCAAGAAGAAAGCCATTGTTAACAGAAAACCATAAGAAGTCCCGTTTGCAGTTTGCCACAAGCCATGTGGGGGACACAGCAAACATCTGGAAGAAGGTGCTCTGGTCAGATGAGACCAAAATGGAACTTTTTGGCCATAGTGCAAAACGCTATGTGTGGTGGAAAACTAACACTGCACATCACTCTGAACACACCATCCCCACTGTCAAATATAGTGGTGGCAATATCATGATCTTCTCTTCAGCAGGGACAGGGAAGCTGGTCAGAGTTGATGGGAAGATGGATGGAGCCAAATACAGGGCAATCTTGGAAGAAAACCTCTTGGAGTCTGCAAAAGACTTGAGACTGGGGCGGAGGTTCACCTTCCAGCAGGACAACGACCCTAAACATAAAGCCAGGGTAACAATGGAATGGTTTAAAACAAAACATATCCATGTGTTAGAATGGCCCAGTCAAAGTCCAGATCTAAATCCAATCGAGAATCTGTGGCAAGATCTGAAAACTGCTGTTCACAAACGCTGTCCGTCTAATCTGACTGAGCTGGAGCTGTTTTGCAAAGAAGAATGGGCAAGAATTTCAGTCTCTAGATGTGCAAAGCTGGTAGAGACATACCCTAAAAGACTGGCAGCTGTAATTGCAGCAAAAGGTGGTTCTACAAAGTATTGACTCAGGGGGCTGAATAATTACGCACATTCCACTTTTCAGTTATTTATTTGTAAAAAATGTTTGGAATCATGTATGATTTTCCTTCCACTTCTCACGTGTACGCCACTTTGAGTTGGTCTTTCACATGGAAATCCAATAAAACTGATTCATGTTTGTGGCTGTAATGTGACAAAATGTGGGAAAGTTCAAGGGGGCCGAATACTTTTGCAAACCACTGTAACTATTTGTCGCTGTACATTTTAAACTTTTTTTTGATACTATAATTTGTTTTCCTCTTAAGGTAGAACAGAAATAAGAACACACTTTTATGCAAAGTAAGATAAACATGGATAGCGCTGATCTGAAAGAACGGTGGTCTCCTCTCAGATCAAGAACTGGGCTATCTACTTCCACGAGGCTAACAACAACAAAGCCACACCATTGTGTGAACCTTTCAGGCCTTGGAAAATTAAGTACACTGATCTTATCTGTTGTATAAACCTAGCAGACTCTAGCTGGTTCCAACAAGATCAGCAATACTTTTCTACTTTCAATTTACTGGAAATGTTGTACAGAAGTTCAAATAGCTCGAGTGGTTTCAATATTTCTGTCACTGCCTCTATCTGGATATGGTTTAGTTGTTTTTTTTGTCAAACACATACCTTACAATGTCTGATTTACGTTTTGCAACACTCACACATAGCTGAACTGAAACTAATGTTATTGCAGTTCACTGCAGCTGACTGAATACTGAGATGTAGTTCACAATTTCTATTGTATAAAAGCTTGTGTATGAAAACACGTTTTTCTATTTGTAATTCTTTTCATTTTTAGGTCTTAAATTTAGACAAATGAATAATATTTTGACTGGCAGACAAAAGAAAAAAAGATTAATGGAAACAAGCATGTATACTAGTTGAAATTAAAAAAAAAATTTAAATAAAAAAATGCCATTTTAAGCCACAGCTTTTCTAAATTAACAGCCTTATCAATTATTAAAATCACTTTTTTATGTTACTGTAATGGCTAATGAACCAGTATGCACATTTAATGCATTTAATCAAAATGACATTTTTAAAGCTAAAATATAATTACTGTTGTTAAAATGTTGTCAAATTTACTGTTTCACAAAAAGCTGAAAAATAGTGATTCACACTAATAGTCCAATATGCTTGTATAAAAAACGTGAATTCCGTAACAACTGATTAAATCAATTGTTAGTTTTAAAAAGTTCTTGACAAAACGTATTTTCTAATTTTTTACCCAGATAAATAATTACATAAAAGACATTTGTTAGGCACTGTGTATGCAATGTAGGCTGTAAAGGCAAATGAGAAAACGCTTAAAGGCGATTGCAGTGTTTTGACAGCAGGGGGAGCTGTTGTTTGGATAGGTGGCAGGTGCTGAGCTCTCCTCTAAGGGGCACCGTAGGACAGCAGACGGAAAACCTCTCACAAACAAATGGCGTCCCTCCAGTGCGAAGCAGCTGATTTCCTACCGAGCAAGGCAGGAGGAACGGCGGATAGATAAACAGGGCGCCACCGGATCTCTTCTCAGCAAGATTGTGTACTGTTTTTTTTGTTTGTTTGTTTTTTGTACGATTCGTGTGGCAGGGTGACGACTGGATGTTGCGCACTGTTCTGTAATCGAGAGTAAACCGCTGTTCCGGTGTACAAACAATCCTCCTGTCAAGCAAAACAGAAAGAAGAGTGTCAGCTGCGGCTCGTGCTTCCCGCCGTTTGCTTATTTTATCTGCGCTTAGGCTTTTTTATGATTTGACTCGAGGTTTTTTGGTGTCAGTGTTTGACCAGAGCTCGAACTCAGGCGCTGTAGGCGACAGTAGCAGGTCAAATGCGTCCGCCCCGACGTTTCAGGGCTACATATTGAATATGGGCATCACCCCTTCAGAGGTATCATCCTCCTCCTCCACCACCACTACCACCGCCACCTCCTCCGCCTGACTGGTTGGCCGCCCGTTCGTTAATCCAATTCAAGAGATCATCTCTTCAGCCCTTCCTGAGGTTACACTATCAAGACGGCGTTATCTCAGAAAGCCAGGTAAGGTTTTGTGCTTTTACTCAGTGTGAGAGAGCTGCTTGAGCTGTCACTGTCAGCGCACGGCTGTCGCATATTTCTGACATTCTCCCTCTCTTTTTTTTTTTTTTTTTTTTTTTTTTTTTGTTACTGCAAGATATGCTGTAGCTACCTGGCTTACAGCCAGCTGACTGATGCCGATGCCTGACGAGATAGCTCCCCTCTGTGTTAGCGAATTTTAACATAAAGAGTTGTAGTTAGTTGGCAGCTAGCAGTGGCTAAGTAGCTGTTGCTGGCACTTGCTTGGAGTTTGTGTAATTGGGTTGTTTCCCACATCCTTCTGTCATATTCGCCTCCTATGCCACAGCTGCAGGGTGCATAACATGCTCGGAGTTGATTGCTCCACTGAGCCCTGAAAAGGTCACTCAGCGCTTGCTATATACACGTAAAGCAGTAGATTCCTTTCAGGGTGCAGCTGGATTACATGCATTGCTGTGAAACCAGGCTACTAGGTAATCAAAGGATTTATATTGTAATCAAGGCTCTGAAGTGCTAAAATACTCCTTTGCTAATTTCTTTGCTACCTGTACACCTCCCATGGTGTCATCTCCCCTCTGAGGGCTGTCAGTAACTCTGGGGAAAATCTTTTTTTTCTTAAACAACCATTTTTAGTAACAGAAGTCAGTATTGCCTGTATTTTATTAACATTATCTGACACATCAATGTGAAGAGAAATTGTTTTACTTTATCATTGTTTTGTGAAATGAAATTCCACTTTTGACACCAATCCTGTCATAAACAGGCTTTTGGGTGCCCTATCAATGTGCTGGAGAAAAAAAATAATTTGCTCACTTTCTCCATTATTCTCGGATACAGCTTGCTCCCATCAGGGAATAAAATACATCAAGCTGCTATTCCTCTCTTCTGCAGCAAATTTGTCCAAAGCGAGCTATACTGTAGCTTGCTTTGTACAACACGCTCCTTGGAATGACCGGCAGCTTTCAGCCCACTCCCAGAGGAAAGTGGGGTGCTGAGTTGACTTAAGAGCCAGAAGGAATGAGGTCATAATGCCGAGAACCCAGCCTGCTATTGAAGTCAACAGACTGTCACATACAACACACCCATGAATACACATGGAAACCTATACGTAACAGACATGTATGAAGGGCACATAGTGTTTTTTATATAGACAAGGAGGTGTTATGATTGTCCTGTTGTGCTACATGGGCTTCACACAGGGCAGACACTTTATTAGAAACGGTTTCGTGTTTATCCAAGCTTTGCAGTGGTCTGTTTGACCTTGGCATTTGCTACGTACTAAAAAATATGCAGCGATCTTAGCAAGATACATCATTGCTGTGCTGCAAATAAGGCAATCTGGGAGACTTGGGAAAGCCCTGGGTTGGGCATTTATGCATTCTTTAAAGAGCATGTCTGCAACGACTCATGGCTGATTATTTGAGCGATATTGAAGGCAATCATATACTAAGGGTAGTGATTCTAGTGTGATATGTAGGTTGGACCTTCTGGTTTAATAACAGAAGGGTCTCTGGGAAATAAACCTAGGGAAGGCCTTGGTTTGTTTTTTTTTTTGTTTGTTTTTTGGTGAAACAGTGCTATGCTGTAATCGACATCCTGGAGAGGCTGTTTGTCAGTGCTCTGTCCATCTTTAGGTCACTACAAAAGCACCTAATGTTAAGAAGATTAATTACCTTGAGTTGGACTTGATGTAGAAGTGGGGCTTTCAGTTTAAATACCCCTAACCAGCGATCAGACCTCAATTACTGTCAGTCCTCCAATGGCAGTAAAGCCTTGTTAGAGAAGTAAGGCTACATTTAGGGGGACTGACACTGAATGTCAAATTACTGTGCTTAGGTAACTGGACTTTGTAAAGCCTTAGCTGTCTCAGGTATACACTTCATTACTGCAGTCCAGCTTTGTTAAATTACTCCTTTATTCTGGTAACATTTACACTTCCAGAGAAAGTCATTTTAGAGTAATCTGATTTCAGGGGTCGTGTTCTGCCTTTGTGCTGCGAGTCCTCCAAAGATTATGCAACAGCTTAAATGCCATTTCAGCAGGGTGTTGCTTGGAGTGAGTGTTCTGGGTGGTGGTGGTTTCCAGGTGTGTGTGTGTGTGCATGGCTGGGGATAGAGTGGAGGATAGTGTACACACTAAACAGGCAATACTGCTGTCAGTTGAGCCCTAAATAGCTCCCGAAAATGATGTTCTCTGCTCCGAGAGCACTTTAGCTCTGTGTGTTATGGCTTGTATCCAGCCAGTTAGGATTATGTTTGGATGAGACGGGGATTGTTATGAGAGTATTATTTGGTGCTTGTGCGCTGTGCTTCTTCCAGACAGCCTCTTGGCATTTTGAACTGGTCTCACACGCCCTATTTTTCTCAGACAGGTAGGGCTTTGTAAATTGAGACGCTGTTATGTAACGCACCATGGAATCTGCTGACCGGGACACTTTATACGACGGAGTATTTCAGTCTTCTTCATCTTCTGCTTCTTTCGCCTGCTCCCTTTAAGATCGCCGTAGTGGATCATCTGGCTCCATCTCATCCTATCCCTTCCATCCTCTGTCACACCAACCCTCTGCATGACCTCTTTGTTATATCCATGAATCTTCTCTGTGGTCTTCCTCTTTTCATTTCAGTTAGTCCTAAGGGCTCAGGATAGTTTCACACAAACAAAGATTAAGAACAAAGAATTTTAGGTGAGGGAGACGTGAACGCCAGCTGAACATCTGTTTCTTGTAGGGCTGCACGATTAATCGTTAGAAAATCGCGATCTCAATTCATACTTATGTGCGATCTCATTTCCAAATGA